TTGGAAGGAAAGAAAAGGAAAAGGAAAAAAAAATCCTGTAAATTATGATGATACGAACAAAGGATTTAAAATACATTTTCTGCAAATAAAATCTCACTTTGGGTTACTAGTAATAAATCCACTCCATTGAGTGAAGAGAAATGGTCAAGTCTTCTATAGAATTCAAAATACTTGCAAAATAGAGAATGAAGATATACATTGAATATAGGCATGTACAGAGTAGTGGAATCCATGAAGAGTTGTCATACTGTGTTGGCAGGGGGAAGACACTGGAATTGGTTCCAGGACCCCAAGATGAAACAGGAGGACACACAAGAATCATGTATAGGGGCTGGGGATTTAGCTCAGCGGCATAAGCACCTGCCTTGCAAGCATACAGTCATGAGTTTGATCCCTGGTACCGGTAGAAATGAAAAAGACAAAAAAAAAAAAAAAAAAAAAGAATCATGTATGAAAATGGCATAGTAATTTGCACACACATCCTCCTGATATTTCAAACCATCTCTGGATTACTTTTAATGCCTAAGTGTAAAGCCTGTATAAATAGTTGTACTGTATTGCTTAGGGAAGTGATGACTCAGTCAAGCACTTTCTTTCCCTATCATTTTTATTGTTTTTTTGAAACAGGATCTTGGGCTGGGAAGTAGCTCAACTACATATGCATGGCAAATGTGAGGTTGTAGGTTCAAGCCCCACTACCCCACAAAAGAAAGAAAGAAAGAAAGAAAAAAAGAAAGAAAGAAAGAAAAAGGGTCTTGCTATGTTGTACAAGTTAGTATTGAATTTGAGCTGGTCTCAAATCTGTGATCCTCCTGTGTCAGCATTCCAAGTGCTAGGATTGAAGGTATATACTATAATCTCTTGCTATGCACAAAATCTTAAAAGTATTTTTGAGCTGGGGGTGTTGGTGCATGCCTATAATCCCAGCATTCGGGAGGCTGAGGCAGGAAGATTTCAGTGAATTTAGGACCAGCCTTAACTACATATAAAGACTTTGTGTTTAAAAGAACAAAAATAAATAAATAAATGTATTTTTGCTCTTTTTTTTTTTAACTTTTTATCGGTACTAGGGATCGAACTCACGACCTCCTGCTTACAAGGCAGGTGCTTATGCCGCTGAGCTAAATCCCTAACCCCTAATAAATGTATTTTTGATCTGCATTTGGTTGAGTCAGATGTGAAAACCATGATTATGCAAGTCCATCTAGTTGGCTTGGCTTTATTCATCTTCTGTCTTTCTCCTACTAAAGGTGAGCTTCTGAAACACAGAGCAAATCTTGTTTTCAGTATTATTCTATTAATAATAAATAATAGTTTATTAACAGTAATTTTAATAAAATAAACAATTTGATTGATACATTATTTTAAAGTACTTACAATTTTTTCCTAAGAAATTAATACTTAAAAATTAGAAATTAATACTTAAAAATTAATACTTAAAAATTAGGCCAAGGGCATTTGGGAGGCTGAGGCAGGGGGATTGTTGTGAGTTTGAGACCAATCTGGGCTCAAAAGTGAGCTCAAGGCCAACCTGAACTGCATAGGGAGACCCTGTCACAAAAAGACAAAAAAAAAATTATGCTGAGGCAAGTTCAGAGCTGCATACCTGCAGTCCCAGAGCTATGGAGTATGATACTTTGTACCCAGCCTGGGCAATTTACCAAGACACTGCCTCAAAAATAAAAAAAAATTTAAAAAGTACTGTGGGTGTAATTCATTGCAAAGGCCTGGGATTCAATCCTCAGTACTTAGAGAGAGAGGGAGGAAGAGAAAGAGAGAGGGAAGGAGAAATATGGCTTATCCTACAAAGTCATACAACATTATTTCTACCACACTTTATTGGTTGAAGCAGTTATAAAGATCTTTCCAGGTTGCAGGGTAGAGAACAAAGTCCTACACCAGTGAAATGAGGTATATGTTGGTGTGGTCATCTTTGGAAAATCTAATCTGTCAAGTAGCATACTTTACAGATATCTATATATTACTCATCTTTGCTGTTATTTATTTATTTATTTGTTTATTTTTGGTGGTGCTGAGAAGTGGATCCAGGGCCTTGGGTATGCAAGGGGAGAGCTCTACTACTGAGCCACATCCCCAGCCCCTTTATTGATATTTTTTGACGGTACAGAGAATCAAATCTAGGAGTTCTCTGTCATTGAGTTGCAAACCCAGATCTCTTTTTTTTTTTGAAACAGGATCTCACTGTGTAATTCAAACTGGCTTTGAACTCACTATGTAGCCTAGGCTGACTTTGAACTTGAAGCAATCCTCCTGCCTCAGCCTCTTGAGTGCTGGGATTATAGATTACAGGCATAGTGGTAATGCCAAGCTCTTATTTATTTTTTAAAATGTTATTTTAAAAAGCAGTAAATTAATAAAAGAAAATTTCAAAACAAGATAATCAAGAGTAACAATGGTTAATACATTGTTGTTACTTTTTAATTCCTCCCTTATCATCTTTAAATTAGTTACTCAGAGTCCAAGACATAGGTGTTTAACTGTCCAAACAATATTAGCACAAACCTTTCTTTTCAAAGAGAAATTAGTAGTATAACTATCATATCCATCTTGTGTGTTTATATATATATTTTTTTCTTTTGCTTTTTCCTTTCTTCTTTTCTCCTTTCATGCACCCCAGTCTCTTTCTTTTGGAATAGTTTCTTCTCATTTCATAATATCTGTTTTACATTTTGGCTCTTATTTCAGCTTCTCACACCAATGAGATGTTTATATATGTGAGTCTGATTTATTTCACTTATGAGTACAGTCTCAAGTTGTATCCATTTACCTATAAAAGTTTTTAGTTTATCCTTCTTTATGGCTGGGTAGTGCTCCATCGTATAAAAAGACTACATCTTTTTATCCATTCTTTGGCTAATGGGCATTTGTTTGGATTCCTTCCAAAATCTGACTATTACAAATTTTACTCTGGGGCTGGAGATTTAGCTCAGCGGCATTAGTGCCTGCCTTGCCAGCAGGCAGTCGTGAGTTCGATCCCCGGTACCGATAAAAAGGAAAAAGAGAAAAAACAACAACAACAAATTTTACTCTACAGACATGGGTGCACATATATCACTGTGGTACAATGTTTTTAATTCTTCTGGGAAAATACCAAGAAGGGAAATAGCTGGATCAAATGGGACTTCTACTAATCTTAGGGGTTTTTTTTTGTCTTTTTCCTTTTTATTGGTACCAGGGATCGAACTCATGACTGCCTGCTTGCAAGGCATAATCTTAGTTTTTTGAGGAATCTCTGTAATTTATTTCCACAGTGCTTGCACCAGTCTACACTCTCATCAACAGTGGAAAAGGGTTCCTTTTTCTTCGTGGCCCTTCCAGCATTTGTTATTGGTTGACTTCTTGATAAAACTCCTGCTTTTTAAAAATTTTGTATTTTTTTTTAAAATTTTGAGGTCTTGCTAAATTATCCAGCTTATGAGGATGACAATGTCCTTGTATGTACCATGGCTGCCCTGTGATTAATGTATTTTGAAATTTTGTTGGTTTTTTTTTCTTCCCCCCCCCATTTTATCCTTGAAATAAAATGGATTTGGAAAAATAAATAAATAAATTCCCCAAACTTGTTGTCTTCTGGCCTCAGCCTTTCAAATAGCTGAATTATGGGCATATGCCGCTGAACCTGGCACATTTATTGATTTTAATTATACATGTAATATACACTGATACATAAAGTTGTAAGATTAAAGTATTACTAAATTACTACTGACAAGCATGCAGTGAACTATTAGCTTACTGCAACTCTGTTCTCCTATGTGTCTATACATACACAGCTAGGCACACACGTTTACACAAACCTGTTTTTATTTGTTTCATAAAGTACAGGCATTGCAAATATCATTCTGCTTTTTTTTTTAATTTACTAAAAGGGACTATGATTATCTCTATAAGAAAAAAATGATAAAGCTATAATTTCTTTTCTTTTCTTTTTTTTTGTCTTTTTCCTTTTTATCGCTACTGGGGATCGAATTCACAACTGCCTGCTTGCAAGGCAGGTGCTTATGCTGTTGAGCTAAATCTCCAGCCTTAAAGCTATAATTTCTAACCCTGGCCATCTGTCTCCAGAGCCTACACTCTTTCCAAGTATATCCCTTTAATTCCAGCAGCACTCTGTGAGACACAGGCAGAATTATCACAAATTCAAGCCCAGGGCTGGGGATTTAGCTCAGCGGCATAAGCACCTGCCTTGCAAGCAGGCAGTCTTGAGTCGATCCCCAGTACCAGAAAAAAGAAAAAGGAAAAAACAAACAAAAAAACAAATTCAAGCCCACTCTTGGCAATTTACTGGCTTCGTACAACTTGTCCCAAAATGCCAAATTTGAACAAGGCCTGGTGATATAAACTCTAGGTTCAATACCTACTACCAGAATACACACACACACACACACACACATCTTTGTACTGAGCTTTGCATTGTTGTAAAACAAAATGTTTTGGGTTTTATTCCTAAAAAGGTCAAATGCTATGCTCATTTCACATTGTAATGAATATGCCAAATCTCTTTTTTTTTTTTTTTTTAACTTTTTTTTCTTTTTTGAGACCCCCAAGGTCTCGCAAGCAGCCATTGTTAAGGTAGTGAGCCCAAGCCGGGCGTGGTGGCTCACGCCTGTAATCCCAGCAGTTGGGAGGCTGAGGCAGGAGGATCGCTGCGAGTTTGAGACTACCCTCTGCTGCAAAGTGAGCTCAAGGCCAGCCTGAACTGCATAGTGAGACATTATCTCAAAAAGACAAAAAAAAGTCGTGAGTTCGATCCCCGGTACCGATAAAAAGGAAAAAGACACAAAAAAAAAAGATAGTGAGCCCTGAACCTAGAGGATACCAAACCCAGCAAAACTTCTGGGAAGAATGGATCGACTCGCTAAGCACTCCCTAGCCCCACCCACTCGGTATCCCATCAATCACGCTCGCGTTCTGCCCCCATAGGGGCGGGGCCAGTGCCGGAAGCGACCCGGCCGGAAGCCCTGAGGGCCCAGTGGGCCGGCCTCCGGATCGGCCCTGGCTCAGGCCCCGCCCCCACAAAGTGGGTGAAAGGTCGGCGGCGCGGTGCAAAACCTGGGGCGACGAAGCAAAACTGACAGAACGACTCCTGACTGACCATGGCAGAGGAGCCGAAGCCTATCAGCCCGCTCAAGAACTTGCTAGCCGGCGGCTTTGGCGGCGTGTGCCTGGTGTTTGTGGGGCACCCTCTGGACACTGTCAAGGTGCGGGGAGACTGGGGCGGAAGATTGGGGAGGAGGTTTGAGAGCTGGCGGCCCCTAGGCAGAAATGGGGCCCATAAATACTACCTTTTGTGGGAAATCTAGAGAATCTCTTTCAGGAGTGGGCGGAAGCTGTACTTTGCGCTCCAAAAGAGCCAGACAGACCAAAGTGTGCAGCCACCAACCTCTCCATCAATAGCTCCTAGGTAAAGGTCTCTGTCCCACAGTTTCTTCTGACTGCGCTTTGGGAATGGGAAAGAAAGAGCGGCTGCCTAAAGCTGATTGCAGCTAACGCTAACATTTTATCATTAAAGCTGAAATATGTCCCCTGTAAAGCTTGCCCCCGGAAGATAACTTATGAGAGATGCAGGGCTTTTCTGGAATGACCGTTGACACACGCCTCGGGGCCAGTGTGCAGCATTTCCGTCTTTTGTGCGTTGTCCTGTACACTTAAATACTTGGCCACCAACCTGTCAGACATCCCGTGGGAAGCTAATGATATCCTCAGTGATTCAGCCTTCTCCAAGGAAAGCAGATGACAGCTCTACACAGGGTCAGGCTGATCCCCACTACCACCAGGTGAAGAAACTATTGGTCGTACCAAGGTTACCAGAGAGCAGCAACACAATGCCCTGGAACACTAGGCAAGGCTTTGTTGGCGACCAAAGTCCCTGTCCTGTGACTCTGTATTTGAAACTTCACCCTAGTTTTGTAATCTTACTGTATACAAAAGAAAGTTGACAGGTCATGGCCAGAGTAGGCCTGCTGGGGATTTAGCTCACCAGAGTAGGCCGGTACAGCACATAAGTCTTAGTGGGGACACCTATGTGGTGGGCTGCTTAGAAAGTTGGATCCAGTTTCCTTCATAGGAAAAGTTTCATGAACTTTTCTTGACAGACTTGGGCAACAGGTTCTTTCATGCTTTTCATTTGCAAGAGAAGCTGTCTCAAAGGTAAAGCTTCTACTGGGATCATGGAATACAAGGATCAGGATTAAAGCAGCTAAGCTGGCTAGAGCATTCTGTAATAAATCAGATGTTTATTCAGCAGATGGTAAAATGCCACGTTAGTGCTTCTAAGGCAAGTAGTCATTCCAAGTAGAACTGACTAGTAAGGGTCAGTCATCTGGCTTCTCTTCCAATCCTTGATTCTCAAAGCCAAAAATCATATTTGTTACAGACATCTGAAACTTTAAAAAAAAAACAAACTTGATTCCTTATTTAAAAATGTTACTGGACCAAGCGGAGTGTAACCCCGGCGCTTGGGAGGCTGAGGCAGAAAGATTGCCACAAGTTTGAGGCTGGTCTGGGCTGCATAGTGAGTTTAAGACCAGCCTGAATTATGCAGCAAGACCCTGACTCAAAAAAGCCCAAAGGTTTTTAAAGTGAAAATATTATTCCTACCTCCTTAGCCTCTTGTGCTTGATACTATACCCAGAAGGAGTCCAGTAACCTCTGTGCTGAATTATAAGTGACTAAAAATACTTCCTGGCATTTTGATAGCAAGAATTGCCTTTTAGTGTAAAAAAGATGACAAAAGATTGCCAACTGTTGTTCTCTTGACCTCAGAGAGCCGGTGTACTCCAATTAAGGGTTGATCTAGAGGTATCTAGAGATTCAAGGCAACTGAACTGTGGCCCACATGTCTTAATAAACCAAGAACTGCAAGAGTTGGGGTTTAGAAAAACTCTTATGGAAGGTAATGTTAGGGCAGGCATTAAAGGACAGGTTGAGTTCTGACTGGAAAAATAGGGCCATCTAGACAGTATGGCATGTAGCAATATTTGAGTTCATTTGTGCATTTTTTTGAGGTAGGGCCTCACTGTGTAGTCCTGGCTGACTTAGAAATTACTGTGATCTAATCTCAGTACTCAACCTATCTAATTGTAGTACTTGGGAGGCTGAGGCAGGAGGATTGCTGTGAGTTTAAGGTCAGCCTGGGCTACATAGTTGAAGATTAGACTGAACTACATAGCAAGACCCTGTCTCAAATAACCAAAAAAGAAAAATAAAGGAATTAAATCACAACGATTCTCTTGCCTCAGCCTCCAGAGTGCTGGGGTCACAGTTGTGTACCACCATACCTGGGGCCAGTCCTTTTATATATATATATATATATATATATATATATATATATTAAGTTTTGAGACAGGGTGTTGCTAAGTCTCAAAATTGCCAGGTTAGCTGGAACTTGTTTTTTTTGTTGTTGTTGTTTTTTTTTTTCTCCTTTTTATCGGTACCGGGGATCAAACTCATGACTGCCTGCTTACAAGGCAGATGCTTATGCCACTGAGCTAAATCCCCAGCCCCTAGCTGGAACTTGTGATCCTCCTTGTCTCAGCCTCTCAGAGTACTGGGCTTACAGAGTGGTTCTTTATGCTGTGCTAGGACTGGGAAATTTATAAGGAAGTGATTTATTCTGATAGTTCTAGAAGCTAAAAAAATCTTAACATCTGTGGCCCACATCTGGCCAGGCCCTCATACTGTATCATCCTGTGGCAAGAGATGAAAAGGTAAGAGAATGCAAAAGAACAAGACATTAAGCTCAACTGTCAAGCCTTTTTTGTGGTTGACATTGATCCAGTCATGAAGGTGGAGCCCTCATGACCTAAACACTGCCATAAGGTCCTAGTCTCAACACTGTGCCATTTGGGGATCAAGTGCTTTTTGGCAGGAGTGCAGGCAAGTGTAGACTTGCAACTGGGGAGTCAAAATGTAAACCAAAACCAACTGAGGTGTTTTGCTGTTTTTTGAGACAGAGTCTCACTATGTAGTTCAGGTTGGCCTCGAACTCACAACCATTCCTGCCTCAGTACTGGTATTATAGGCATGCACCATCAGTTTTGGCTTAGGTCTTTCACGAGATTATAGTGAAGAAATGGACTGGCATCCAGGTTATTTAAGAACATGTATAAGTCAATAATGAAAACATAAATAATCCAATCAAAAATGGCCAAAGGATCTAAACAGACATCTCATCAAAGAAGATGTACAAATGGCCATGAACATGAGAACAGTTGTTCAACTTGGTATTTGCCATGGACATGCAAATCAAGGTCACAGTGAGATACTACCTTACACCCACTGAGATGGTTAAGATAAGACAATACAAATGATAGCAAGTGTTGATGAAGGTAGAACTCTTTTTTTTTTTTTGGTCTTTTTTCATTTTTATCGGAACCAGGGATCAAACTCACGACTGCCTGCTTGGAAGGCAGGCGCTTATGCCGCTGAGCTAAATCCCCAGCTCCTGAAGGTAGAACTCTTACATGCTGCTGGTGGGAGTGTAAAACACTGAAGCCACTTGAAAAATAGCCTGACAGTTTCTGAGCTAGGATGTAGTTCAGAGGTAGAGCACATGGTTTGCATGCACAAGGCCTAGGGTTCCCTGGCACTAAGGGAAAAGAGTAAAGGTTAAATAGAATTAACCTATGATTTAGAAACTTCTACTCATAATGAGAAGGAAAGTAAAGGAGGGGAGAGGAGGAGAAGGAGGAAGGAAGGGGCAAGAAGTAAAAGAATAGAAGGAAAAAAATGGAAACACCTTTTGTATATAAGGAGGGGAAGAAGGGTGGGGAGGAATGGAGAAAAAAGCAACAAGATATATCAAGTACAGGTACAAATTCCATATGATGAATGTTACCATTATGTGTATCTAAAATGTAGCAATTTAAAAAGAAAACATGACAAAAGAAAAAATAGGAGTGCATCAAAATTTTTTAAAAATATTCTGGTTTTAGGTAAATGTAATAGTTGATGTGTCAACTTGATTGAGTCTCATGATATAAATATTTGTTCAGATGTCAATTCTGGGTGTGTTTGTGAGGGTGAGGGTATTTTGCACTGATGGAGTACTTTTTTAAATTTGATTTTTATATTTTTAATTTTTGGTGCCAGAGATTGAACTTGACCTGCTTGAATGCCTGCTTGCCAGGCAGGCGTTTATGCTGCTGAGCTAAATCACTGGCCCTTATATTTTTATTTTGAGACATGTCTTGAATGGGCTGTGGCCTCAATTTCCCAAAGTTCTGGAGTTACAGGGGTGCTTTTGAATATTAGCTGGATGTGTCAGTGCATACCTGTAATCCTAGTGTTACAGGGAAAATACCAGAACTGACAAGATGATATAAGGGAAATAATATTACTCCCAATCTGTTAGAAGTCTGATACGCCAAATTCATGTTTTCTAAAAATTAAAGAATGAATTCTAAGGACAACAAAGGTTACAAATAGGAAGGAATTTATTGAGAGGATAGAAAGCTCCTGTCAGGAACAGAAGGGATCCTGAATGGGTAGCACAGGACCCCGCTCAGTAGGGAAATTTTATAAAACAAAACCCATGCAGGTACAATGTAGATTACAGTTATGATCAACCAGTTAGATTATGAGGGAAGCAACTGGGCATGGAAAGATCAAAGAATTTCTCAGTTGGGTGAGGGATCTGGGTTCTTGGTTTCCCACTGGGGTGACTGATGCCTCTTAGACTTTGTTAGACCAGCTGTTATTACTTATTTCACCCCTTGGACACTATGTAGGTCTGGTCCTTTTGTTGTTGTCTTGAAGCTTGAGTTTCAACTGATGCCTCTCCCAGCCACAGCTATAGTGGGTTTTTTTACCTTTTGTCCTAACTCTTTAGAGAGCCTCGCTCTGTCTGATGGCCACTATTATTTCTACCTACCTTGGCTGTGTGTAATACCAGCACTATGGGAATCTGAGGCAGGATGATCACACGTTCGAGCCCAGCCTGGTCATCTCTGTGGTTTAGTAAGATCTTGTCTCAAAAATTAAAAAAAAAAAAATCCAGGTGTGGTAGGAGGTTCTTTCTATATTTGAGGCCATCTTGGGCTAATAGTGAGTTCAACACTAACCTAAACTACATGAGACCCTGTCTCAAAAATCCAAATAATAAGTAAATAAAATAAAACTTTTCAAAAATGGCTGAAGATGTTATTTAATACAGAGGCACTGGGTTAGATCCTCAGTACTGCAAAATAAAATAAAATTTTCCTTGGTAGACTGAGTAAAGCAATTGCCCTCCCTGATGTGAGGGGGCCTCATCTAATCAGTTGAAGGTTTGAATAGAATAAAAGGCTGACCTCCTAAGAGTCGGAAGTTCCTGGCTGCCTGCTTCAGGTGAGACAACAGGTTATCTTTAGACTCCAGCTGAAATATTGACTTGAGTCTCTAGTTAACTGATTACAGATCTTAGAACTTCTTAGCTTTTATAGTGACACAAGTCATTTCCTTGTAATAAGTCTCTTGAAAATATTTCCTAGGGGCTGGGGATTTAGCTCAGTGGCATAAGTACCTGCGTTGCAAGCAGGCAGTTGTGGGTTCGATCCCCGGTACCGATAAAAAGGAAAAAGATGAAAAAAAAAAAAAGAAAATTAGAAATTTTAGGCTGGATGTGGTGGCGCATGCTTATGATGCCAGCTCTCTGGAGGCTGAGGCAGGAGGATCACTGTGACTCTGAGGCCAGGCTGGGCTACACAGTGAATTTTTTTTTTTTGTCTTTTTCGTTTTTATCGGTACCAGGGATCGAACTCACGACTGCCTGCTTGCAAGGCAGGTGCTTATGCCGCTGAGCTAAATCCCCAGCCCTACACAGTGAATTTAAGGCCAGCGGTATTACATAGTAACACCCTGTCTCAAAAAACAAAAAATTTTTAAAATGCAGGTGTGGACTCAGTGCACAAGCCCTGAGTTCCATCCCTATTACCACAACAACAAAAACCCCATGAATATCCATCCACTGATGAATTAGTATACAAAATGTGGTATATAATAGGATATTATTTGCCAATAAAAAGGAATTAAGTGGGATGCTGAGGAAGGAGGATGGCAAGTTCAAGCCCAGTTTGGGCAATTTAGGGAGACCTTGTCTCAAAAATGGCCTGGGGATATATCTCAGTGGTAGAGGCCCTGGGGTGTCAGTCACCAGTGTTGAAAGAAAAAAAAAAAAAAAAAAAAGAGAAACAGACAGAGGTCTGAGTATACTCAGTTAAGGGAATGCTAAAGATTTGTACGCAGATGGAAGTTTCCCTGATTAGTTTGATAAATAGTTCTGACTCTGGAGGATGATCTATTTTAACTTGTGTTTTTAGGTCCGACTGCAGACACAGCCAGCAAGTTTGCCTGGACAGTCTCCTATGTACTCTGGGACATTTGACTGCTTCCGAAAGACTCTTCTTAGAGAGGTATGGTATTTAATTCTGTACATTCCTTCTACTGAGAAGAGCACATGGAGAGCATTTTCTTTCCTTTAAAAGCTCTCCTTGCTTGTAGAAGAGGTAAGGGAGAGCCATAGGTTAGAGCCACAGCTTCCCTGTTTTAGTGCTATACAGAGTGATGGTATATATCTATAATCCCAGCACTCAGAAGGTTGAGGCAAGAGGATAAATTTGAGGAGGCCAGTCCAAGCTAAATACTGTAGGTAGCCATCTTGAACTGCAGTGAAAGACTCTGATTTAAAAAAAAAAAAAGAGCAGTGTTGTCTGTAAATAGCTTTTGCTTTTGTGATTCCTTGCAGGGCATCACAGGGCTGTACCGGGGTATGGCTGCCCCTATCATTGGGGTCACTCCCATGTTTGCTGTGTGCTTCTTTGGATTTGGTCTGGGAAAGAAACTACAGCAGAAATCCCCAGAGGATGTGCTTAGGTGAGTACTCACAGGCTTGGAGCACTCAGTGCCGCTCTGCTTGGTGTATGGCATAGGTTGAAGAAAAGAACCCCAGCAAATAGGCAGTGACTGTCTCAGGGCTTCCCAGAAATGACTGCTAGGAGTCCCACATGAGGAAAGTACCTGGGAACTAAAGAAATACACAAAGAAAAATGTCCCCTGTCCACTTTCCAGTTCGTCATAATTTTTTCTAGAAGGTAATGTCAGTTATTGGGATTATTAACAATATCAACCCTACAGGATTGTTGAGAAGTTCGAATGCTGACATGTATTTAAAATGTAGTACCTGTGACTGCTATGACAGCAGCAGCAGCTTTGTACTCTGCCACCTAGTTAAGAGAAATTTCTGACTTTTCTCTTTTTTTTGTCTTTTTGAGACAGGGTCTCTCTATGCAGTTCCGGCTGGCCTTGGGCTCACTTTGTGGCCCAGGCTGGTCTCAAACGTGCAATGATCCTCCTGCCTCAGCCTCTCAAGTGCTGGAATTACAGGAGTGTGCCACCATGCCTGGCTAGTTTCTGACGTTCGTTTTGCTATTTTTTGGAGGGAGAATACTAGGGATTGCATGCAGGACTCTTCTATTGAGCTATATCACCAGGTCTCCTTTCATTTTTCATTTTGAGATAGGATTTTTTTTTTGTCTTTTTCCTTTTTATCGGTACCAGGGATTGAACTCATGACTGCCTGCTTTCAAGGCAGTCGCTTATGCCGCTGAGCTAAACCCCCAGCCCTTGAGATAGGATCTTGCTAAGTCACTGTTGCACAGTCAGTGGCTCAAATTTATGACACACTTGCCTCAGCCTTCCAGAGTGCTGGGATTATAGGCATGTACTAGCATACCTGCTTTACTCCACTACTACTACTACTACTACTACTACTACTACTACTACTACTCCTTCCTCCTCCTGCTTCTTTTTTCTTTTTAGGTGTGGTCTTGTTGTGTAGTTTAAGCTGGCTTTGCCATAATTTTTTTTTTTTTAAGACAAGGTCTCGCTATCTAAGTACAGGCTTGCCTTGAACTTCTGGGAAAGGCTGGTTTTGAACACATTTTGTAGACCAGGTTGGCCTCAAACTGACAGCAATCTTTCTGTCTCAGCCTCCCAAGTAGTGTTATGCTAGCATCTCATTTTTTTGTTTGTCTTTGTTTTTAACTTTTTATCGGTACTGAGAATCGAACTCACGACCGCCTGCTTGCAAGGCAGGTGCTTACGCCACTGAGCTAAATCCCCAGCCCCAAGCATCTCATTTTTATAATATAATTATATGCTTTTAATGATTACAGATGTTGGTTTCTCTGTCAAAGTGAAATAAGTTAGCATAGTTTCTTGAAAGTTTCCAAGCATACAGACTGACAAACAGTCAGGAGCCCTTGCTTTGTTAGATAGCCAGCCCTAAAGTCCCAGTTCACACTGCTGTCTCCAAGAGGAATCTTCCCAGCGTCTTCCTGAGGATGGCAGTGTGACCTGAGACTGTGAATCTGGCTGCGTGTGAAAGCAGCCCTATTGACTGTTGTAGTTAGCCTAGATGCTTGACTTTTTTTTTTGTCTTTTTCCTTTTTTTTTTATCAGTACTGGGGACCGAACTCACGACTGCCTGCTTGCAAGGCAGGCGCTTATGCCGCTGAGCTAAATCCCCAGCCCCTAGATGCTTGACTCTTAAGTCTGAGGTGAATGTTAAGTCTGAGTTCTGCAAAGAACAAGCTGTTGAAACTGGTGTCCTGCTTAAACGGAGAAATCTGCAGTGAGTGTGCCCTCACTGCCACTTGGTGCCTTTTCTTCATTTCTCACTTATTTTGAGTGGGACTGGCCTGAAGCTTTAGTTGTCAGAGGCTTGGAGTGGTAGGAACAGTGTGAAAGTTGTCAGCATCATTTGCCAAGTTGTTGGGGCTCTATTACCATGGTGGATGTAACTGGGTTCTGCATTGCCTCTAAGTGTTGCTGATCCCAGAAGGAAGGGGAAGTACTAGAGGTGTCACAGACAGCTGTGGTGACAGACAATAGAAGCCTCAGAATCGTCCTCAGTGTGGCTTATTGTGTGGAGCCTGAGTGAGAAGCAGTGCCTCTGGCTCCCAAGAGACCCTTCTGTGCACAGCACTGTGGAATTCACCCTGCCTGCCTGCCTGAGTAGCACCCCTGGTGTGGGCCTGCCTATCAGTATTTTCCTTGCAGCAGCTTACTCCTTGTAGCAGGCCTGGCTGCCCCTCAGCCTGTAGAGGTGGCCACAGCCCTTCTTCCTGACCTTGAAGCTGTCCTGTTTGATTCTTGATTCAGAGTGTCCTCAGGCTGTTGGTGATTTAGGGAAAAGGGGACTGGGGGAGGGTGTGATATACTTAGGTGCAGATCTTGGGTAGAGGCTCGCATTTCACAGTTGAGGCCTCTGAGAAGTCTGGGAACTTGTCCATAGGCACTGCACAAGACAGCAGGGTGGAAACCACGTCTCACTGAGATCTCCCTTAACTGAGGGATTCTGACACATACCTCAGTGACTGGACTTGTGATAGGCTCCATTGCTCTTGACCTTGAGACCCTTACTCGTGGAAGTTTGATTGGAATGTACCTAGAATTTGGATTTCATGTAATTTATTTGTGACTGTGCTTCTTCCTAGTTTACGTACTTTTTTTCTTATGAAACCATCCTTTTTTTCTGGGATTACTTTTGTCCGTAGGGATAATCACAACTACTTGTTTCTGCTTTTTGTTTTCAATACAGCTACTCCGAAATATTTGCTGCTGGGATGTTATCTGGTGTATTTACTACAGGAATCATGACCCCTGGTGAACGGATCAAGTGCTTATTACAGGTAAGAGTGTGATCTAATGGCTAAAATTTTGTAAGCATATTTATGTTCATATTCCCTTTATAAAGGCTTCAGGTGAGGTGTACAGAACAAATAGTTCCAAGACTTTCTGGACAATTGAAGCAATTATAATAGAATTGAGACAGTGTAACAGACCAAAAAAAAATGTCATACTTGTGATGTGTCAGTGCTAGCCTACCCATCTTTATTATCAGTTACTTTAGGAACTTTGAAAAATGAGTTCCTAAAAAAAAAAAAAAAAGAGAGAGAGAGAGAGAGAGATGAGTTATGTCTCAGGGCTACAACCAGGGATGCTACTCCTGTGAAAGATGTCCTGTGTCTGTCAAAACCCCAGTGTCTTTTTTTTTTTCCAGTTCCAGGGATTGAACTCACAGTCACCTGCTTGCAAGGCAGGAGTTTATGCCGCTGAGCTAGATCCCCAGCCCCTATTCCCAGTGTCTTTAAGTTATTGACGATTTTAGACACACAGTCCCAAACTCAAACCCAAACCCACTTATCACAAAGTGCAACACTGCAATTAAACCTGACTATGGAGATATTAGTTTAGAAAAAGCAACTCATACATTGACATCTTTTGTCTTAAAAACAGTGACATGCATACCATAGGTTTGCCATAATACAGCTGTAGAATATACCCCATCCTATAATTTTTGTAATTTCAAGAAAGTTTAAACAGAACAGAAGAGGAAAAAAAGTAGAATTATACACTGAGCTGGGTATGGGGATGCACAACTGTAATCCCACCTCTCAGGAGGCAGGAAGATCCCTGTGAGTTCTGAGCCAGCCTGGGCCTGAGCTACATAGTAAGGCCCTGTCTCATAAATAAAATAATAAAATCATACATTATGTGAATTTTTTAGATCGCCACCATAATTTCCTGGAGTTCATTCAGATTGTTGAATTTTATTTTTGTTTTTCATTTTTTGAGGTATTTTTTTTCCACTATGTGGTTCAGTCTGGCTTTGATCTCAAATAACCCAGGCTGGCCTCAAACTTGCAGTGATTCTTCTGCCTCAGCTTTCCAAGTGCTAGGATTGCAGGCTTGCACCACCACATCGATTTAGATATATAAAAAGTTCATTTTTCTTTTTCTTTTTTTTTTTTTTGTTGGGGGAGACAGGGTCTTCTATGTAATGGAGGCTGGCCTCGAACTTGCTTATGTAGTCCAAGCTGAAATTAGAAAATTTGTATTTCCTTACTTAATAGCTAAAGATAACAAATATAACAAGTGTATCTTTTTATATGTTTAATCCTCTTTGATGAAATATGTGTCCATAAATTTGGCCTATTTTCTAACTGTATTTTTAAAATTATTTTGATAGTCCTTGAGAATATTTATTTTATATTTGTGAATCCTTGATATATTTTAGATATTGGTTCTTTACCAGATACATGGTTATGTTTTGTTAATATTTTCTCTCATTAGACAGAAATCAAGGTATGGGTTGAAGGGAGGAGAAGAGATTGAGAAAAAAAGAGAAATAAAAATGTATCATTGACAAGTACAAATTTTCTGCAATGAATATGATCTTTATATATATCTAAATTGTACCAATAAACTTAATTTTTTAAAATGATAGTATAAATCTGTAATCTCAGCATTTGGGAAATTAAAAAGGCTCATGAGTTTGGGGCCAGCCTAAATTACACATAGCAAGTTCATAAATTTTTTTTTTCATGTCAGGGATTAAACTTAGGACCTTGCGCTTGCCAGGTAGGTGCTTATGCCACTGAGCTAAATCACCATCCCCAACAAGTTCATAAATTTAAGACTCTGAGTACACCATATAGAGACTCTGTCTCAAAAATACATAAATAAGTAAATATTTGATAAAATTCTTTGGTAAAATAGGCTTGGAGATTTTGTAGGGAGGAATTTTTAAATTATGAATGATTTTTAAAATCATTATATGGCAATTCAAATTCTTTGTTTCATATTGGGTGAGTTGTGGCAGTTTGCAGTTTTCCTTCTTTAATTTTTATTGTCAAATATGGGTTATAGATGTTTCTAGTACTTTAGCATCTTTTTTTTTTTTTTTTTTTGAGATAGGGTTTCACTATGTAGGCTGCCCTTGAACTCAGTTTGTAGCCCAGGCTACCCTTGAACCCATAGCAATCCTCTTGCTTCAGCTTCCCAAGTGCTGGGACTACAGGTGTGCACTACCACATCTGACCTTCATCTTTTTTTTTTTTCTTGCTTGCAGTGAACTTCCTGCCTCAGTTTGATGAGTGCTGAGATTACAGGCATCTGCCACTACTCTCAGCCTCTGATATTCTTGAAGAAATAGCTCTTTATTAATTTTCTTAATTTTTTTCAGTTTTTTGTTTGGCTTTTACCTTTTTTATTTTCTTCATTATGGGTTTATTTCTGCTTCCTCTGCCTAGGTTTTTTATTTTTATTTATTTATTTTTTTGAGACAAGGTCTTGCTATATAGTTCAGGCTGCCCTCGAACTCACTACATAGCCCAGGCTAGTCTTGAGCTCATGATGATCCTCTTCCCTCAGCATCTCCAGTGCTGGCATTTTAGGTATGTGCCACCATACCTGGCTTTTCTTCCTTTTTGACACATGTACTCAGGGCTATCCATTTCCTCTTAGCTGTGTCTCACAAATTTTGGTATATTGTGTGTCTCACAAATTTTGGTATATTGTATTTTCACCTTCGGTCAGTTCAGTGAGATTCTTTCTAAAAAAACAAAAACAAAAACCCTAAAACAGCAGACAACCAGGTATAGGCTGGACCACATGCCTATAACTCAGCACTTGTGAGACTGAGACACTAAGATCACTGTTTTACGCCTCCTGGGTTATATAGGCCCTATCTAAAAAAGACAAAAGATTCTGCTTTCTCTCTTCTTCAACATCAGGAAGGATGCATTGGATCATTCTCATTAGTAATAAGCATAATTATGTTTGTGGGTTTTGTCTTAAAAATAGAAAGTTCTTGGAATATTTCACTTTTGAATACTCTCTTCTTATCCAGAGCAGCAGTCATCTCTTTCTTCCCCTTTCTGCACCTTCAAATAATCTTCTTTTATTAAACACACACACACACACACACACACACACACACACACACAAACACTTCTCTCTACTGTTTCCCACATCATTTTTCATGCTTCAAGACTTTGCTCCCCTGTACCTCAAAACTGTTTGGTGGTTTATTATATATTTCTATACAATATGTACCTCAAAGTCTCCATATGCAAAACTGAATTGAGACATTGGCTTTCTCAGTACCTTCTCTTCCCTGGCACTGTGGTGGCAATACCATCCTTCCTGTATTCAGCCTAAAACCACGAGTCCTCCCAGATGCCTTTATTTTTTTCACTGTACAGATCCTATGTGTTGAACAGTTAAATTTGCATTCAATATATCTCAAATTTCTTTTTTCTTATCACTCCCATTGCATCTGTGTTGATTCAGGTCACCTTTTTCACTGTCCCAGATAATGAGGGCCTGTGTACTTGTGTCCCGGATTATGGTCTGTACTGTCCGTAACAGTAAGAAGTTTCTATCCATATGTCCTTAACATACCCAGTTCACCATGGCTCCCCAGCATGATTCACGGCAACATCCTCTATCACATGGACCTTTCTGTTCTTCCTCAGATGTAATTGGCTCAGGCACATCTGGATGATTTGGAGAAATTATGTAAAAGAACCATTGGTATCTTAAATTTACTATTAGAAAAATTGACACCTTCCAAATTTGAAAACTTTTGTAGTCAAAATTATGATTTGTAGGGGATAGTTTTTATGGTTTTATTTAAGCATAGATAAACATGCATAGGAGCTGTCTACTAGTTTTCTTCGCTACACAGCGTGGCATTGTGGTTGGGGACTCAGATGGCTCACTGGGCCGCTCTTTCCCCATGGCCTTGTGGTCCTTGAAGGAGACCTTGTGAGCAACTCAGCCCCTTAACATTGTGTATCAGGAACTTCCGGAAGCCATGTGCTTTGTCTTTTTGTTGCTGCTATAACCTATGTTGGGCATCAAGATCTGGCCATTGAACCTTCTCTGCACCCTGTTGTCACTGCCTCTGGGCTTTCACCAGTTGCGCTTAATTTTGAAAGACTGGTCTGATTGGTGCTGGATGAACTTTGTGTTCTTTTTGACAATCTTGGGCTTTACAAGGGGCCTGAGGGCTGCCATGGTGTGGAGTCTAGATAGTTGCCACCTCCATAGGCAGCACTGAGGGAGAGAGGGAATGGTGGCGCGTCAAATACAGTTTTTTTTTTTTAATCGGTAACTCACGACTGTGCGCTTGCAAGGCAGGCGCTTATGCCACTGAGCTAAATCCCCAGCCCTAAATACGATTTGTTTTGAGGTAGGGTCTTGCTTTGTATTTCAAGCTGGCCTTGAATTTATGGCGATCTTCCTGCCTTAACCAGTGGGGTGCTGGATTATAGGTGTGTACTATTACACCCAGCCCAAAATTATGATTTTACAAAAAAAAAAAAAAAAAAAAAAAAGCGCTAAGTGTGATGGCACATGTCTGTAATCCCAGAACTCAGGAGGCTGAGGCAGGAGGATCATCATGAGTCTGAGGCTTTCCTGGCCTACATAGTGAATTCAAGGCCAACAACATGGTCTACATGGAGAGACCCTATCTCACACACACACACAAAAAGACAATTGGTTTGGTTTTGGTTTTGTGACAGGGTCTCCCCTATGAAACCCAGGCTGGCTTTGAACTCACACTGATCCTCCTGTCTTAGCCTCCTGAGTGCTGCTATTATAGGTATATGCCACTGTGCCCTGCTCAAGAATTATGACTCACTTTTTATTTACCTTGCTTATGTTCTTTTATATAATTTATCACTTTATACACATACATCTTGGGTTTTTTTTTGTTTTTGGTCTTTTTTTTTATCAGTACCAGGGATCAAACTCATGACTGCCTGCTTGCGAGGCAGGTGCTTATGCCGCTGAGCTAAATCCCCAGCCCCACATCTTGTTTTTTTTGAATGAGATCCTTTTCTATTATTTTAACTGTTTAGTCCTGTCATGTTAAAAACAAAAAACTATGTTGCTTGTATGTTGTTTATCCTTAGAACTGTGAAAGCTGAACTCTTTGGCTTTAACTGCTCTTCGGCTGATGCCTCTGCCTGACTCTTCTTGGCTCCATACTTGCTGTGAACCCTGAATGGGGCTTCCTTTCAGATCTTTACTGGGGTTATAGCTGTCTTTCCTTAGGCTCTTCACTCTTAGGTCATGAAAACCTAGATTTGGGATAGGGGCCTCCCCTTGGTTCTCCTATGTTCTGTACAGGGCCTCTATTGGGGCATTGAGTGCGCTTAGTGAAATTTCCTGTGTACCTTTGCTCCCTCTGCTCCCCAGTACTATGAATTAAACCTAGATCTTATCACATGCTAGGTAAGTACTCTAGCACTGACCTAGATTTTTTAGAATCTAAGTTTAAGGCAGAGTTCTGCTGAGTTATCTAGGCTAGCCTTGAACTTGTGATTCTCCTTCCCCTGCCTTCTAGGTAGCTTGGATTATCCAGCTCTGTTCACCTTTTATTTTATTTTTTTATTGGTACTGGGGATCGAACTCACGACTGCCTGCTTGCAAGGCACGTTCTTATGCCACTGAGCTAAATCCCCAGCCCCTCACCTTTTATTTTTAAAATTTTTTTAAAGTTTTATTTTTTTCTTCGACCAGGGGTTAAACTCACAACTATGTGCTTGCAAGCCTCATGACCAGCTAGCTGGTCTTGGAATGATTTTGTACTCAATAGATATTTGTGGAAGGAATAAACAAATACTAAAATATTTATCTTCTATATCTCCCAAATTGCTTTTTAAAAAGTGCTTCTGTGCTTGGAAGATTTCTTTCATTTGTTTTGCATAATGGAAATTGAATACAGGCCTTTTGCTTTTTTGTGATAGTGTCTAATTTGCTAGTCTCCTGCCTCAGCCTTCCAGAGTACTGGTATTATTATACCTGGTTAGCCTTATTTCATAGTGCCTTTCCCAATATCATGTATTCCAAATACTTACTGACTTGACATTGAAGCCTTTATGGGTCTAATGCATAGTGACCACTTCCATGCTCACTTTATGTTCCGTTATAACCTTCTGGTTCTACTGACTTTGACTTGATGACCTTCTCCATTCCAGATTCAGGCTTCTTCAGGGGAAACCAAGTACAACGGACCCTTGGACTGTGCAAAAAAGCTATACCAGGAATCTGGAATCCGAGGCATATACAAAGGCACTGTGCTCACCCTCATGAGAGGTACATTTTCAGGCTCTCCAGCCACCTAAGGGCATTTAGGGAGGTCATCTGTGGCTCTGCTACAGAGGGTCTTGCCTAAGTATCCAGTTAGTATTAGAACATGCCACAGATCTGACAGGTCTAGCAGTATGTGCCCTGGTTTTCAGCGTTATTGACACAGATAAGGATGGAGAGACCTACCTTTGTTCCTTAGTATCCTCAGGGGTGAAAGTCACAACAATGGTAGTTGGAGGGATTGGCTTATAAATAGAAATCATGGCTGGGGTGACAAGTGAGAAGAAAGAATGACTCAGGGCTAATGGAGAGCTCCTGTGTTTCACGGTTAGGGAGGAATTTGGGGCCTCAGCATGTGAGGCAAGTGCTTCCCACTGGACTATACCCTCTACTCCTCTCCCTGGCTTGACAGGTGGATTTTCCCAGGGTGAAAGTAGGAGGTAATTCCATTCTTGTGTCCTACTTTCTTGTGCTGAGATGGGAGCTTGAAGGAAGGCCAGATTAGCTGTGATTATAACTTCCAGAGTGGGTTTGTCAGTGGTGACTTAGAGGGGACTTTAAAAACATTGTATGTGTTCATGCTCACAGTGCTTGGCCCAGGGCAGCTTCTGATAGCTGCAAAGTGATGATTGCAAACCAGATGTGGCTGCTAAGGAAACTCTCATGAAACCTTGAGTAGTCCAGTGCCAGACTTGAGACTGTAAAACACAGTAATCTATAGGGCTTTTATAGATTTCATTCATTGCCTTTTTCACTTCTTTCTTGGCACTAACAGATGTTCCAGCCAGTGGGATGTATTTCATGACATATGAATGGCTGAAAAATATTTTAACTCCAGAGGGAAAAAGGTGAGAATGTTGTAGCTTATAAATCACTTTTCCCACTCATGAATGAGTGGTTCTTTCTTGTGAGTGGGTCAGGAAATACAGAGAAGAAAGACTTGTTCTTTCTCTGTGTATGTCTTATTCTTATGGCTGCTGAGGTCCAGCTAACTTACTCTTACTCTGTGTTCACACAGTGTGGCAAGTATGTGAAATAAGTGGGCAAATTCTTCCCCAACAAGTAGCTGTCATGTTACAGGAACCTTTGGATCTCTTTTCTCCAGCCAGTCTCTTCCTTTCAGTAACTTCCCTGTCTTCCAGAGGAGAGGTGGAAGGACAAACACCTTTCTCTCAGTCTTTGTTTGACTGAGGCTCTGGGTGGGTGTTCTACAGTGTCAGTGACCTCAGTGTTCCTCGAATCCTGGTAGCTGGTGGAACTGCAGGGATCTTCAACTGGGCTGTGGCAATCCCTCCAGATGTCCTTAAGTCCCGATTCCAGACTGGTGAGTGAGGTGATGTGCACAGGGTGGGTTTCACTGGATACTCCAGGGTAGTACAATGCCCTTAAGACCTTGGGATACTTACTATCTATCTTTATATGGCAGCATCCAGAGATTGTCTAGGAACCCCAGATTCTTTTTCATGTTTGCCTAAACATAAACGAAGATATGAAGTCAAATCTGCAAAACCACCCCACTCATAATCAGAAGATTGTTGCATTCTTGTGTGTGTGTGTGTGTGTATGTGTCTTGATGAGGATCAAACCCAGGGCCTCATGCATAGTAGGCAAGCACTAAGCTATATCCTCCACACTGTTTCATTCTTCATTTCTCTTATACACTCCCTTGGAACAGTAACCCAGACATTTGTGTGTGTGTGCCACAGAGTGAATCATGTTGTTTGTCTCAGACTAAGATCTTACCCTAGTGCCAGCTCTGATTCCATAGGAAGACTATTAGATTATTCCATGTGGGATGCCATGGTTAGGTTACAAAGCTCAGTGATGCTTTAAAAATTGGGTTCTGAGGCCAAGGATTTAACTCAGTGGTGCAATGCCTGCCTGGCAAGCTCAAGGTCATGAGTTTGATTGCCTGTACCATAAATAAATAAATAAATAAATAAAAAAAAATTAAAAATTGGGTTCTTCCCCACAGCACCTCCTGGAAAATATCCTAATGGTTTCAGAGATGTGCTAACAGAGCTCATCCAGAAAGAAGGAATCACATCCTTGTACAAAGGGTTTAATGCAGTGATGATCCGAGCCTTCCCAGCCAATGCAGTAAGTAGCTGACAGGGGCTGTGATTTTTCTTCTGGTTTCAGGCACAGTGTACGTGCACTGGTTTTGCTTGTTCCTGGAATTGTACTGGAGGCTCAATTCTCCCCCATATCTCACTCTTAGTCAAAGCCTGTGTATTTGCTCACTTCCCTGAAACTGTCAGAAAGATTTGCCTTGAGGCTTCTCTGAGGTCAGCAGCTTTGGTTTTCTGACCTGGCCATCAGAACTGGGCAGCTGTGGAATATCCATTGTTCTTCTGTTAGGAATGAGAGGTCTGCTTGCTTCTGTGATCTGGAGTGGGAGTGGGATTAGGGAGGGGTTCTGGTCCTGACAGGGCCAGCTAGGCACAATGTTGTGGGTACTATCTATGAGGAGTCACATTTTTGGGCTTTTCTTTTCCTCCCCATCCCCGCTTAGGCCTGCTTCCTTGGGTTTGAAGTTGCCATGAAGTTCCTTAACTGGCTCACCCCCAACTTATGAGGCTGAAGGCCGCTGAAGCCTTCTGGATGCCGGGTACTCATTGAGGAGAAGCGGTGACTAAGACTAGGGTGCCTTGAAGGGTGAGGTGAGGGGGTGGTGGGATCAGAATTCTGAGCATGGACTTGGCGAAACTTTTGCTTTAATGATATCTGCCTTCTGTGATTTTGTGTACCATTTTGAAACTTGAATTCACTCAAAGGATTTGGAGATGGAATAATAAGCTTCTTGACCAGATACTACCTGTGACCAGGTGCTGCTTGCTGGTTGACTGCTGGCCCTACTACACCCTAACACTCCTTGCTAAAGAGATAATTTCATGCTCTCACTGAAACACGTTTTCACACAGCTGACTAGAAATTGGAATCCTCGTCAAACCCTAGTCAAGAAAATCAGCTGATTTCCAGGGTGCCATTGGATCCTCAGCTACACACAGGGATGTGGATTTAAGCCCACATCTGTCTATCCAAGCTGGCCGAATGGATATGCCTAAGAACTGATGGCCTGTTCACCATCAGATTTTAATTTTTTTTACACAAGAAGATAATAAAAACCAAAGATAGAGCAGTGTAATTTCTCAGTAATAGGTGGAGAACTTTCCCTCCTATACAATGAGGACAGCTCCAGACTGCTGGGTTAATTGCAAAAGCCTGTGGTACAGGAAGGCTGTTTTTGTACACTCTCTTCTCATGAGAGTGCCTATAAAACAATAACGATTACTTCTAATTTCTGCACTGTGTGGTTTGTGTGTGTGTGTGTGTGGTTCTGGAACATTTGAACTGACGACCTGTGGCCTTGGTGGAGACTGCGAGGGATCCACTATCCTCCTCTGGTAACTGCTGGCAGAGACTCAAGCACAAGGAAGAGGCAGCTCTGGCTGGCCCAGACTTCTCTGGTTGCCCCAGCTGCTTGATTGAGGATGAGTGGGGCAAGGTGACTAGACAGGTAACCTCACGCATTTCTCAGTTGCAGCTGACATGCAGGCCCCCACAAGCCTAACCTGTAGCCCATCCCTTGTTCCTTTCCCTCTCTGCCCTGAGCCACAGAAGTATCTGAGCTGACAAATGGAAATTTAGTTGTTCTAAAAAGGGAAAAATTGCTGGGTATGGTGATATTCTTTATAATCCCAGTGTTCAGGAGGATTCCCATGAGTTCAAGGCCAGGCAGGGCTACATAGTGAATTCAAGGCCAGCCTGGAGTACTTAGGTGGGACCCTGTTTCACAAAACAAAATAAAGCAAACAAAAAGGGTCTAAGCAATCTCCAGTTTTCCTGTGGCATAAGGTTGCTGTGTGATCTGATGTGGCTGGCCTGGCTTTACTAATCAGGGAGATTATGATTTTAGGTGTGGTCAGAAAAGGATAGATGTTGTTGAGTGAAGAATCACAGGGTAGCTTTTGTCTGGTGGAGAACAGAGCTTATGGAAGCTCCTAGCACCAAGCTTCTCCAGCATTCTCCTGACTAGTGGTCACAGTTCTGTTGCCATTTACTTTATGCCTTATTTAGCTGTACAGAAATTCTTGCATTATTTTTTTCTAGTACTGGGGATTGAACCCAGGACCTTGCACATGGTGGGCATTGCCACTGAACTATATCTCTAGTCTTTTTTTTTTTTTTTTGAGACAAGGTCTTACTATGCAGTTCATACTGGCCTTGAGCTCACTTTGTAGCTCAGGCTGGTCTCAAATTTGCAACCATCCTTCTGCCTCAGCCTCCCCAGTGCTGGGATTACAGGCATGTGCCACCATGCCCGGCTTTAGTCCTTTTTATTTATTTTTTATTTTGAGACAAAATCTTGCTAAATTTTCTAGGCTGGTCTTAAACTTGTGACTCTTCTGCTTCAGCCTCCTGAGTAGTTAATAGCCATGTGTTATCGTACCTGGCTGGACTTTAGCTTTAGAATCATTACTCTGTATGAATGATACAGATAGGTACCCACAACCATTCTTAGACTTAAGCATGTGGCCAACCTGGAAGGAAGTTGAAGATTTGGGAGTTTCTGGTTGGAGGCTTTATTTCTGGGAAGATATTTCTGGATGACTAGTTTGGAATTACAGCCATTTTTTTTTCTTTCCTTTTTTCTTTTCTTTTTGAGACAGGGTCTTATATATAGTCTGGGCCTTAAACTTGCTATGTATCCAAAGTTGGCTTAAATTTGCAGTTTTCAGCTTTCCAAGTGGTGGTATGTGTATTTCAACCAGATCTAGTTAAAAATTAATTTAGAGAGGGGGTGTCATTACACAGTCCACATTGGCCTTGGACTTATAGAAATCTTCTTGCTTCAGCCTCCTAGTACTGGGATTACAGGCATGTACCACCACGCCCAACAAAAATAGTATTTTTAAAGATGAAAACTGTGAATCTTCTGTCTGAGGAGGTTACTTTAGTGTTAAGCCTGTCCCCTCAAATACTGGGGTATCTTTAGTTTCTCTGTTCGTGTGGTTGGTTTTTTTTTTTTTTTTTTTTTGTCTTTTTTGTCTTTTTCCTTTTTATCGGTACTGGGGATCGAACTCACGACTGCCTGCTTGTAAGGCAGGTGCTTATGCCGCTGAGCTAAATCCCCAGCCCCATGTGGTTGGTTTTTTGAGACAGGGTCTTACTATGTGTTTCAGGCTGGACTTAAACTCATTGTGTAGCCCCGGATAGTTTCAAACAGTGATCCTCCTGTCTTGGCCTCCATGCCTTCCCAGGAGGATCTTCAGTATCTCACTGATGTGGAGATAGCCATGTAAGTGTTTCTTGAACCTCTTTACCACCTATTTTTTTTTTTACCTTTACCACTTTTTTTTTTTTTTTTTGTACCGGGGATCGAACTCAAGGCCTTATGCTTGCCAGGCAGGCACTTAAGCCACTGAGCTAAATCCCAGGTCCCTATCTTTTTTTTTGAGACAGAGTTTCATTATGTAGTTCAGGCCATCTTGAACTCACTATGTAGTCCAAGCTGGCCTCATTATGATCCTCCTTCCTCATCCTCCAGAGCACTGGGATTACAAGTATGCACTACCATGCCTGGCCCCATCCCGTTTTAAATGGAGTATGCTGGTTTCTTGATATTATGGATGGCAGATATGACAGATTCATTTACTCCTTTGGGTGCTGAGTAGATGTTAAATCAAACAGGGAAGCCCCAGGTGGCAAATTTATGGAGGAAACAGAACAGATGGTGAGGACTTCCTTCTGGCTGGTGCTTCCTTTATGATGCATTGTGAAATGCCACCTGTGCCTGATATATCTCTTCAGTGCCTGACAGGGATGAGGGGATAGAAGTGGGACTGGAATTGGGGCCCAGAAATTTCTCCGTACCGTCAAGTAGAAGCCAACAGTGACTGTTAAAACCACCAAGTGGTGGTAACCTCACTCAGGCACCAAGAGGATAATAACTGGACCAAAGAGAAGGGACAAAGCAGGTTTGTAAAAGCAACCTGATCTTGTTTGCTTATTTGAAGATAGAGTCTTGTTATATAGCCCAGGCTGGGCTTGAATTCGTAGTGATCCTCCTGAAAAAGCAATATGTTAAAAGCACAGTACCAGCTGGGTATGATGGCACATGGCTGTACTCTTCAACATAGGAGTTGAGGATTGAGGTAGAATGATTGTAGTTAGAACTCAGCCTGGACAAATTTAGTGACTTAGAGAGGCCCTGTCTCAGAAAGGGATGGAGGTGTAGCTCAGTATGGTGCTTTGATCATCAGTCCCACTTCTCCCCAAAAGCACAGTAGCATCATTTTTGCTAAAAAGTTATACCATAACTGCACATCATCTTTTTGCCTATCGCTTTTTGAATCTGGAGCACCTTCCATCTTTTCTAGTCACGTAAATTCATCACATCTCCTCTGCTTTTTCTTCCTCTTCATTTTTGCTGAGGACGAAACTGGCTTTTTTATTTCTAGACAGGGCCTTGCTAAATTGCTAAACTACCCAAGCTGGGATCCAACATATAATCCTCCTACTTCAGCCTCCTGCAGTGCTGAGACTATAGGTGTGCGCCATGACACTGGTGTTTGTTTTTGGAGACAGGGTCTCCCTATGTAGTCCAGGCTGGTCTTGTACTTACTGTATAGCCCAGGCTAGCTTTGAACTCCCAAAAAACCTCCTACCTCAGCCTCTCAAGTACTGGGATTGTGGGTATGCACTACCATGCTCTGCCTGAGTCCTCTTTTTCAATGCCATGCTACGGATCAAATCTGAGACCTTGGGTGTGCTCAACAAAATGCTCTTCCTCTGAAACACACTCCCAGCCCCTATTCTCTCATTTATCCACGACCACATAACTCAATACTTAAAGAGTAGGGGTTTTTTTTTGTTTGTTTCTTTTTTGAGAGAGAATCACTGTGTACCTTAGGCTGGCCTTGTGTGTCATCCTTTGTATCTGAGAAATCAGAGGCTTTAGATTTTTTTGAGGACGGTTTTGAGGCAGAATTAATGGAGTCGTGCAGGGCAGCCTCACCTAGTGTAACTGTCTCTTTAATCTGAGGATCTGCATGCCGCTGGGCAAGCAGCTCAGAGATTAAATTTTAATTTGTAAAGGTGGTCATAGGAACCTTTTTTGGACCAAAAACTCTATATAATAAACTTTTAAAGCATCTTTTACTTTATTTTACTTCTTGGTTTCTATAGAACCCTTTAGGGGGAACCAAGGGCAAACCTTATGAATAAATTGAAAATACTGTAATAATTCTTTTGTTTTAACCCTTACCCCTCTTGTCTTTAATGCCTTTATAAGGCCTCTCGTGAACAATTTGTGTTCGCTCAATACTTGACCCATGTCTGGGAAAGGGAATGGGGACGCCGTTCACTCACTGTGACTCGGGTAGGACGTTGGGTAGTCGTCTGTGTAGGCCTCGGTACTTAATTTAATGTCCTGTTGCTTTAAGCTTTAATCCTTGATTTAGTTTGTTTACTTCTTGCTGCGGTCTTTGGTTTAATTTGTTTTTACTTTTAGTTTAAGCCGGCTGTCTCTCGAAAGGCTCCCTTGTTAACTCCTCCGTGTCAGGAGCCCCATGTTTTGTGCCACTTGATCCGGCCTGTAGATCAATCCGTGGGAAATTCCTGGAGGGGGAACGGGAATTAAATAAAAGACATAGGGGAGACAAAGAGAGATGAAAGCAAGTCGAAATAATCCAATCAAGCCTCTGTTTATTCAGGAAGTGATCACATATTTTATAGGGCAAGGGCGAGAGGAGGGATAGAAAGAGGCTAAGGGGATAAATACAAGTCACCATCACATCCGGGTATGTGATGTAAGCAGGAGAGGATTATGGTTAATGTAGACAGACACAGTGCCCATAGGAGAGAAAAAGACAGAGAGACAACAATGGGCTGTCGCTTGGCTCCCTACAGCCTTGAATTTACTACATAGCTCAGGCTGGCCTCAAACTCAAGAAGACCCTCCTGCCTCAGCCTTGGAGCGCTGGAATTACAGATATATGCTACCATGCCCAGCTTGGGTAGATATATTTTACCATCAGTTTCTGATGTGGAAGCTGAAGCTCAGACAGGGTAAAGTGATCTGAAAATGTCCTCGGTAGTAAAACAGACTGAGTATGTTAGTATTATCCTATCAGAAGCTTTCTTTGAGCTACTTGCCCTAGGCTCCAGGAAGCATGTCAGTAATTCTGGGTCAAAGCCCAGGTACCCAACCTGTGAGTCAGGTAAGGGATAGCAGAGTCCTGGCAGGAACTACCCATCATTTCTTTCCTGGCAGGCACCTTTTTTTGCTTTCTCTGATCCAGTGAGCATGCAGGTCTGTGATTCTCCAGCCAGGTTCTTTCCTTGTCCTGAGGTATCCCAGAGGCAGATTATGGGTCCATTGCAGAGACCATTATTGTCTTGGGACACAGTGTCCTGGGGAAGGGGTTGGCTCATGGGTAATGAAACAGGTAGTCTTGGAACTAACTGCTCCTTGGGCATGAATTATTGTTAAAATAGATTAGACCTTTTGCACCAGAGATAGTGGCTTCATGGTAGAGCACTGTGTAGAAAAAAGGACAGCTTGTGTGAGGCCAAAGAAGGAATAACTTACTTCCCCACTCCTTCCTGCTAACTAGAGATTCATGAGCACTTTTAGAAAAAAATGTTTTTGAGCTCACTATGTATTCCAGGCTGGCTTCAGATACATAGTAATCCTCCTGCTTCAGCCTCCCAAGTGCTGGGATTACAGGTGTGTGCCACCATGCCTGGCTATGAGTACTTCTAAAGTGGAACTGGTGGTAATAACTCCTGTAGTGAATTTGGAGGGTTTTCCATGCAGTGATGATCAGGTGACTAGCAGGTTCCAGGAGTCTAGTGGGGCCTCAGAGTACCTTAGAGTAGTTCCTTAGTCAGGTAACAGGGTGAAATTCCCTCATAGCCAGAGGGCATAAAATAATGGTTAAAATTTGCCCTGTTTCTGGAAAAAGAAGTAGACATTTAAAATAATACACCTGTCAAGACTACATGAAATTGCTGGGTGTGGTGGCACACACCTGTAATCCCAGCATTTGGGCAGAGACAAAAGAATTTCTACAAGTTTAAGGGCAGCCTGAGATACATAGTGAGCTCAAGTCCAGCCTGAACTACATTGTGAGATGCTGGTTAAAAAAAAAAAAAAAAAAGAAGAGTACATGAAGTTGCTAGGTATGGGGATGCTTGCATACCTATAATCCCAGTAAGATAGATCACTGTGAATTTGGGGCCAGTATGGGCTACATAGTAAAATCCTGTCTCCAACAACAATGAAGACAACAAAAAAATGAAATTCACTGTTGCATTGGAAACAGCAGTTGACACCCTACCCACGTTCATTTTCATCAACATTCACTGCAACTGGGCCCAACACATGTCCCACCTGTGCTACTCTACATTTGTAATTGTAAACATCTCAGAATTGTCCCAGTCATGTCCATGTCTGTGTCTGTGGTTGGTTTTGTGGCAGTCTGTATAGGATGTTGACTGCCTAAGGGGTTGTGAGTAGATCTGGGGCATCCTCCTCCTCCTCACATACTTTTCTCACCTGTGAGGGTCCCTGCTCTTTCTCGTCCTATTTTACTCACTGTCCAGTACTGTTTTTTCAGTTATTGGCTGCCTGTAAGTTTGGTTGTCATAATGACTTCCACTAGCAAAACCGGAAGGACTTGAATGCAGGTTAGGATTCAGGATAAAGGTGGAGGACACAGGACTTGGGCTTCTGATATTCTGTCCTGTTAAAAGAATCTCTTCTTTGGCCAGTTATCCATAAATGTCCTTGGCTTCTTTTGTTTGTTACTGAAGGATTAGCCAGAGCCATGAATCCCTGCTCTGAGTACTCTTTTTGGAAGTTTTTGCATGTATATGTGTATGCATGGTACTAGGGATTGAACCCAGGGCCTTTGCACTGTGCTACATCCCCAGCACTTTTAAAATTTTGAGACTGGGTCTCATTACATTGCTAAATTGTCCAGGTTGGCCTCGAATTTGCAGTCTTTTTGATTCGGCCTTCCTAGTTAGGACTATGGGTATGTGCCACCACACCAGATAGGATGCCTTTTAAATACTGTTTGTGGCTGCTGTGGATCATTCAGAACAAGTTGGTTCTGGCAGAGGCCAGTGGTGGGGTCACTTAAACTGAGAAAAATTTTCCACACCCATCTGTCAGTAGCACTAGTATAGCCTTTCTGTCCCCTATTTTGTAATCGAGGTCAGAGTTCTAATTGTACAGGTGCCTGTCCCTCCTTAAAACATGAAACCTGCCAATATGGGTCCACTAGGGGGGTGGAATTGTGAATTTGCCTTCCCAAAAGATTGGGTATAGGATTCCTTAGGTGTGGTGTTGCCCTGGGAGTCACACCTAGCTTCTCTGAGTATTGTTGTCAAGGAAAACTTGGAAGAATCAGTCTATCCAAAAGCAGTGGAACAGAGAAGAGTTGAATTGCAGGCCCCTGCCTCCAGCCTTTCAACTGCCTATCCTCAGTGAGGTTTCCATATTCTGAGATCAGAAGAAGCACAGCTTTGAAGGAGAGGATTTTTGTTTTGTTTTGTTTTGCTTTGCTTTTTGAGACAAGGTCTCACTATTTAGCCCAAGTGGACCTCAGATTTACTAAGTAACCCAGGCTGGCCTCTAACTTGAAGTGATCCTCTTGTTGAGGCACCCTTATAATACAGAAACACATTCATGAAATGGTAAACTTACGGATATTTCATGATCAATTAGAGACCTCTGACCAAGTTGCTGTTCTGTTGTTTCTGCTAAATTCAGTTGACCCTGACAATGTCACAGCCCAGCTGCAGAAGAGCACTAAGTCAAACTGTGTATACTCTAAGGGACTCTGGGCTGATTCATGTTCATTCAGTAAAGGCCTTCTCTGAGCATTTCTATATTATGGTAATGTCCTTAACTATACTCATTCTGTAAGATCACCCTCCCCTTGTTCCTGGAATGTTTCTCTTGTTTCAAGACTAGCCTGTTTGTCAATATATTATTCATTGTATATAAACAAACATGCTTTGTACCTCCCACTTCTAATTCTATATAGACTAAACTCCTTCTTGATTCAGGGAAGTTGCTTGAGAACTTGCAACAGTCAACTGGTGTGAAGTCCAGCAGTCCACAGGTGTAAAGATTAAATGCTACCTTCTTGTTTCCTTAGTGCAAAGAGCCTTTGTTTTGGTTTGGTTTGGCTTGGGAAATTTTCCACAATACTCTTGCCTCAGCCTCCCAAGTGCTGGGCTTATAGGCACGTGCCACCACCTGTTAAGACTTTTCCGGTGCAATAAAGGAGCAGAATATAAGAAAAAGTAAAAGTGGTCTTTTCATTTAAAGGACTTGGAGAGGAGCCCACAACCAGCAAGGGTTGGCCTTCTCTTCTGCCCAGATATGGGGATGTGGGCTATATGTGACCTTTGATTGGATGTGGTGCTTGGGGTAGGCATTGATGATACACGAGGAGCTGACTGGAATTTTCTTCGTGTGCATGAAGAAAGGAAGAAAGAAGTTGTAATACAAGGGGAGTGGTCATCAGGGTAAGGATCCTGGATTTGGCCTTCCACCATATTGAACTACCACCATAATGCCCTGTAATTTATTGTAGGGCAAAACTCTTTCATCACCTCTGTTTTTGTTTTTTGTTTTGAGACAAGGTGTTGCTACATAGTCCAGAATGGCCTTGAACTAACTATAGCTCAGGCTGTCCTGAAACTTGTGATCTTCCTGCTTGTCTCCCCAAGACAGGGATTACAGGTGTGCACCATCACACCTGATTAGGATCCCAGTTGTGAGGCTGTGGAGTAGGGATAACAGTTTCATCTGAGCCAGGCCGTGGTGGCTCATGCCTGTAATCCCAGCGCTCAGGAGGCTGAGGTGGGAGGATCGTTGTGAGTTTGAGACCAGCCTGTGCTACAAAGTGAGCTCAGGGCCAGCCTGAACTGCATAGTGAGATCCTGAAAGACCAAAAAAAAAAAAAAAAAAAAAAAAAAAAAAAACAGTTTCATCTGCTCTCCTTGCTGTGTTCAAAGTTACTCCATCAGTAAACATTCTCCAGGAGTGCTCTATAAAGACCCACAGACAAGGCTGAGGATTTAGCTCAGCAGCATAAGCGCCTGCTTTGTAGGCGCATGGTCATGAGTTTGACCTTTGGTACTGATCAGAAAAAACCAAACCAGGGCCTGGAGATTTAGCTTAGCAGCATAAGCATCTGCCTTTCAAGCAGGCAGTCGTGAGTTCGATCCCCGGTACCGATAAAAATGAAAAAAGACAAAAACAAAAACAAAAACCAAACAAACCAAACCCACAGACAGTAAGTGGTACACTATTCCTCCCTTCACAGAGTTGATGGCCCAAGACCCTACTGGGTCAAGGCACTTGTTCAGAGTTACTGTTTCTTATCACAAGTCTGCCTGGTGTGGAGCCTGGGTTGGCCTGTCCACTTGAGTATGAGGCACTCCTGCTACCTACCAGCAGTTCAGTTCCCAGCAGCACTGAGATCTTGGGGGTATGCCAAGCTCGTACGGGAAGTGCTAGTGAGGATTTTAATTAATGCTATGTAATTACTAGGTAGTGCTTAACTATCTCAAGTGCCCTCCAGCTTTCTAAGCATACAGCTAATCATTTCCTGGCTGGGCCTGACAGGGAGGATTCTGTGTCCATGGTGTCTTTGGTTAGTGCCTAGACCACAGGAGGGTCTCTCCCTTCTATTCCCCCCCACCTTGTGGTGGGACAGAAAATTTAAAAACTAGCGAGAAGTTTAACACTATATTGGGACAAGATGTGCTCATCTGGCCCACTCCATAACTGGACCACCAAATCCAGTCAGCCTTAACCGACTGCATTCAGCTGCTTTTCATAGGTAGTCTGATCCAGCTCAGTTTGACCCAGTCCAGCTGCAGTGCTTCTGTTGTCCTACCTAAAAATATGTCCTGTTTTAGTAACCTGTTCCAAGGACTGTCTAGCCTGTCAATGACAAGGACATACATGATTTCATCTACCTTGCTCCAACTCCCTCCCAAGACGCTCCCACCTTATAAACAATCCCTCCAATGGAATCTGCCCAATTTGCCTAACAACATATGATATAGTCTATAACTGATTTGCTATTGGCTTGTGTACTTCCTGCTTGCAAACCCTATATAACCAAAACTCAAAGCTGATGCACAACTGGTGGTTTGGAACTGATCTTCCCACAAGCCCAGCAGTATAATAAATAGTTTGCCTTCCAACTCCTTGGTGCAAGGTGTCTTTTTTTCGGTACTGGGTTTCTGCAACAGTGGGAACAAGTTGAGTAGTAGCCAGCGTTGTTTACCTCCTATGAGGCTGAGGATAAACCGCGACTTGTGGACTGCTACACTTCATCAAACCGTGCTGGCCCAGGGCCCAGGGCAGAGTGTAGGGTGTGGAGGGTGTATTAAGTATTGACCCGGAAACTTTGGTGGGAGTGTTCTGAAAGAGGAACAGGCACGAAGTTCCTTCCTGCTCTGGGCCTTATTACTTCTCACTGTATTAGGCTGGTTGAGTGAGCTCCTGGCTCTCAAATCACTGTCTCAATGGAGCTTCAGCTTCCTACATTGCCTTCCCATTTGATATCTCGCAGACCTTATGTCAAATGGCTGACAGGCTATGGAATACTCCACCCGCGAGCCAGGGTGACCCTGACTTGACCAGAGCTTTGTTCTTACTGTGTTGTGTTCAGAAGGCTTCCTGTAGGTTGTCCTCGGGGTCTGTGTGAGTACGGACCCGGTCTAGAATGGGACTTCTTGCCCTTCGCCACAGCTGGGACCGTGATGAGCTCGTGATCACAGTCTCTGCGCCTGTGTCTCTACTGCCCGCTAGAGGCGCACAGCGAGTGCTGAAGGAACAACGGAAAGGCTCTAAACGGCCAGCCCGACTCCCTCGGTCCTTCGGTTCCCGCCGCGCATCCAGCCTCTAGGGGGCTCCCGAATCCGCAGGCGGCCACGCGCACGCGCGCTGGGGCCGTGCACGCACGCCTGCGGCCTGCGTCACAATCCCGGCGCGCGCCCCGCCCGCCTGCCGGTGGGTCCGCGGTGGCGGCGGCGGCGGCCCAGGGACAACGGCGGTGGCAGGGTGGCCGTAGGGTGTAGGGTGACGCGGCCCGGAACCGCAGCCCCGGCCGCCTCGGGCGCGACGCGAAGAGGACCGAACGAACCGCGTACGCCAAGCCGCGGGCACCCGCGGGGGCCGTGAGGAGGGCGAGGCCGCGGCCCCGTTCGCGCGCCGCCAGCCGCCGGCATGAGCCACTTTCAGATCCCGCCAGGACTTACGGAACTGCTTCAGGGCTACACCGTGGAGGTGCTGCGGCGGCGGCCGCCCGACCTGGTGGAGTTCGCGGTGGACTACTTCACCCGCTTGCGCGAGGCCCGCGTTCCGGTCGCCGCCGCCCAGTCGGGCGAGCCGGAGCCCCACGCGGGCCCCGATCCCGACACGAGTGACGCGAGCGACACGGACGACGACGAGGAAGTGGAAGGTAGGCGGCGGCGGGCGGGGGGTCTCCGCGCTCCGAGCTGGTCGCGGCCTTGCTGGGGCGGGGTCGGGTGCCTCGGAATGCGAGGTTTCGGGAGCGGGGAGCCCCAGCGGAACCCCAGAAGGGTTTGTCAGATCCGGCGCGAAGGGACTTGAGCTCCTTGGGGCCGGGACAGCTGGCGCTCAGGCCCTGTGGAAGACCCCAGCCCTCCGCGGTCTCCTGCTCCGAGGACCAGACAGTTGGTTCGCATTCACCCGCTGGCACTTTAGAACCTGGACGGTAACTTTCGCAGGATTTCACCTTTTGGAAAAGTTACTGTAAAAACTTGGAGGCGTAGACAGAAGAAAAGATGGGAATCACTGGAATGAATACGTCCACATTCAACAGATGCCATTAGCTGTCACAAATGTTTCACCGTTTCACCACCCACACCGCTTTGCTGAAAAAAATTTTTTTCTTGCGGTACTGGGAATTGAACCCACTAAACTATGTCCCTAGCCCTTTTTACTTATTTATATGTTTTTTAAAATTTTGAGACAGTGTTTCACTAAGTAGCTCAAGCTGGACTAGAATTTCTGGTGCTACTCCCTCAGTCTCCCAGAGGGCTAGAATTAGAGGAGAATACCACTATATCCAGCTTCTTTGCTAAACTATTTTCAAGCAGATTTTGGTCATTTCATCCTGGCTTGAGGGTGCATTTCACGGTCTTTCAGAATGAAAAAACATATATATATATTAAGTAAGTAAAACACTAAGTATCTTGTTTAGTATGTGAGTTGCAGGAAAGAAGACCGGCAACATTTTGTACGGTATCTAATTTAAACAAATATGTCCAAGAGCAATTTCATGTTCTTGGTTGGTTAAAAATACTTTTCAGGGACTTGGGATTTAGCTTAGAGTTAGAATGCTTATCTAGCAAGCTGGAAGCCCTGGGTTCGGTCCTCATCACCAAAAAATAAAAACCTAAAAAAAAAAAATACTAAAACAACAGCAAAGACTCTTTGTCATTTTAATGCAGGAATTAAAGTTTAAACTTAGTTAACAAAACACGAAAACATTTGAGACACAAAGTTAGTGTTACTTGGTCGCATTTGAAAAAACTAGATTTGAGTTGAATGCTGTCTAGCTTCACATTGAGGTTACAGTAGTTAATGACCATTGCTGTGGGAAGCTGTTGAATTTGTGTGCTCTACAATATGTCTGTTTATTCACTTTGAAAAGAGTAGAATTGCACTTCTATTTCCGTTGTTATATTAGGGATTTTGGAAAGTCATACTGTTTTCCAAACCTGTCACAGTCTCTACCACCCATAGTTGTGGGGCAAGTTGTGAAAGTTTTTTTTTGTTTTGTTTTGTCTTTTTCTTTTTTATCAGTATCAGGGATTGAACTCACGACTGCCTGCTTGCAAGGCAGGCGCTTATGCCGCTGAGCTAAATCCCCAGCCCTCGGTTGTTTTTGTTTTTGATCTGTAGCTCAGGCTGGTCTTGAGCTCATTGTATAGCTTAGCTGGCATTGAATTCACGGTGAACCTACAGCCTAAGCCTCTTGAGTGCTGGGATTATAGGTCTGCCCCACTACATCCAGCATGAAACTTGTTTGATTTCAGATCTTTTTATTTTCAAAATGAGTATAGTAATTTCTGAGCGGTAATGTGCCTTTAAAAGGTTTCTTTTTGTTTTTCTGAGACAGGGTTGTCTGTATAGTGCTGATTGTCCTTGAACTTGATTATGTACCCCAGACTGGCCTTGAATTTATTATCCTCCTGCTTTAACCTCCATAGTGCTGGAATGGCAGGCATGTGCCACCATGTCCAGCTTTATCATCTTATTTATTTCCCGTTTTTCTTTGGTGGCACTGGGCATGGCACCTAGGACCCCTTTGCACATGTTAAGCAAGTACTTTACCATTGAGTTACATCCCTAGCCCTGTCATCTTTTTTTTTGTCTTTTTGAGACAGGGTCTCACTATGCAGTTCAGGCTGGCCTTGAGCTCACTTTGTAGCCCAGGTTGGTCTTGAACTCGCAAGGATCCTCCTGCCGCAGCCTCCGAGTGCTGGGATTACAGGCGTGAGCCACCACACCTGGCTCTCTAGCCCTGTCATCTTTCATAACTTTTGTGTGTTCGTTTGTTCGTTTTCTATGAGATGGTTTTTGTTTTGTTTTGTTTTGTTTTTGTGTTTTTGGTACTGGGGATTGAACTCATGACCTCGCACTTGCCAGGCAGGTGCTTGTGCTGCTGAGCTAAACCCCCAGCCCTGTTGAGACAGGATCTCACTATGTAGTTTTGGCTGGCATTGAACTTGTAGCAGTCCTCCACCTCAGCCTCCTGAATTCTTGGATTACATGTGCCACCACACCAGCTTCATATCTAATTGGATTGATTTATGATCATTGTAACTTTCTTTCAGGTCTCAAGTGGCTATGCCACGTATAATCATAGGAATCAGTGTAAGTTGGATTTCTATTTATAAATAAGACTAAAAATAAATTGTATGTAGTGAGATACCACTTAACATTCATTCCCATTAGTGGGTTGTTACTAAAAGAGTATATTATACAGTACATGGCACCTATCATGTTTTCAGAGTTTACTGGTGTCATGTCATAGCGGGTATCAGTACCTCATTCCTTTTTTTTTTTTTTTTTTTTTTAAAGACAGTCTTGCTGTTATTCAGGCTGAGGCTGGGCATGTTACAGCATTTGGGAGGTTGAGGCAGGAGGCTCATCCTTGAGCTCAAGGTCAGTTTGGACTGCATGGTGAGTTTAAGGCAAGTGTGAACTACATAATGAGACTTTTCTGGAAAAATCAAACAAGAAACAAAGAAAGCCTTAATTGCTTCTCCCACCTTAGCCTCCCCAGCGCAGTGTCCTTGCTTTGCCTTTGATTCCTTGTTACTGCTAAATATTAATACACTGTTTGGATAGAGATACTATACCACATTTTGTTAATATGTTAATGGATACCTGGATTGTTTTCACTTTGTAGCTATTATGAATCATGCTTCTATGAATATTCATTTGTACAATTTTGTGAGTAGAATTACATTTTCATTTTTCTTGAGTATGTGCCTGGAAGTAGACTAGCTGGGCCATATTATAAATCTGTGTTTAACCCTTTGAGGAATACAACCTTGTTTTCTTAAGTGACTATAGCATGGCTGCTGACGTTAAGTATCTTTCTAAGTATTCATTGACATTTGGAGGATTGTCTTTAAACCCTTTGTGCATAGGGTTGTGTTTTTATTTTTAGGGTTGTAGGAATTCTTTACAAATCATCTCTTGGGATACATGTTTTACAAGTATTTTCAATGCATTCAGTGGGTTTTCCCCCTACTTTAAGTGCTGGAGCTAGTACTCAGGGTTTGTGCGTGGTCTAGTCTCTGATGACTTTTTTTTGGACACAGTTTCACTATTTAGTACTGGCTGGTCTTGAACTCAGTGAGTAGTCCAGACTGGGCCTAGATAGCAGCTCTCCTGCCCTTGTCTTCTAAGTGCTGGGATTACTGGTGTTTGTCACTATGCTGGGCTCCTTTTTTTGTGGGGGATTAACGGTATTGACCCAAGCACTAAGATACATCCTCAGTGCGCTCATTCTTTAATTATTATTATTATTTTTTTTTTTTGGTACCGAGGATCAAATTCACGACCTTGTGCTTGCCAGGTAAGTGCTTGTGCTGCTGAGCTAAACTCCTTTAATTATTTTATTTTGCATTTGAGAAAGCTTCTTGCTCTATAGTTCAGGTTGGTCTCAAATTTACAATGATCCCCCTGCCTCAGCCTCTTAAGTGCTAAGATTACAGGCATGTTTCTCCATGCCCAGTTTTAGTCCCTTGAATTTCTATATGACATTTAGGTTGCAAAGACACCAGTCTGGATTTTTATTTTTAGTTTATTTATCTTATTTTTGAGATAGGTTCAGGTGTGTATTCCAGCCTGGTCTTGAATTCACTGTGTAATCTGAGCTGACCTTGAACTCCTTCAGCTTCCTGGGTGCTGGGATTACATGTGTACACCAACAAACAGACTGAGTTTTCATTCTTTGGCACAGAATAACCTTAGTTTACACTTCAACTGAAGGATGAGATTATTCCAGATTAAGTGGTTACTCTATTAAAAAAATGGATGATGGGCTGGGGATATAGTTCAGTGGTAGCCTGCCCTGTTTTCACTAAGGAAGCAGCTTGAAGAAAATAATATGAGGTGTATTTTTGCTCATTAAGAATCTTTTTTGGGGGCTGGGGATATTGCTCAGCAGCATAGCACCTGCCTGGCATGTGCAAAGTGGTGAGTTTGATCCCTGGTACCAAAGGGAAAAAAAAATTTTTTTAAAAAAGTATTTAAAATTTTTATTTCAGAATTTGACCATAGATTGTGGTTTTTCTTGGTTGAAGCCTGAGTGGACAGATTGATTACCTACCTCCAAAGAAGCAAAGATAATTTTGGAATAAATTGCTTTATATAAAGATCTATGTCCTCATGATAAGAATTAATAGTAATTTTACATAGTGTAGTTTCAGGAATGAAAAGAAATCTTGGGACAACCTTTTTATGTTTTAAAACATATGACTTGCTACAACTGTTCTTTTTTTTTTTTTTTTTTTTTTTTTAGGACTGTTCATCATAAATTGTTCTCTTTGAAATTTTTTGTATTCAGTCACCCCTGTAGTATACAGCATTTCACAATTAAAACTGACAAAGTATGACTATTCAGAGTTTGGAAAATAGACCTTTTAGTGTTACTTTTTTTGTATTTAAGGTTCTATTTAAGTTAATTTAGGTTGGAGATATAGCCAGCAGCACAGACAACTGCCTGGCAAGCTTGAGGTCCTGAGTTCCATCCGTGGTACAAAAAAAAAAAAAAAAAAAAAAAAAATTAATTTAGAGTGGGCATAGTGGCACACATCTATAATCTCAGCAACTCAGGCGATAGTCAAACCAATTAGTCAATAAAATGACTCCAGCTATAAGCAAATGGCTTGTGTTTTCGTAGTCCATTTTAGGCTG